TCCCTCGTCTGCCACGAAGAGAATGGTCATGACATGGCGTGAGGAGGTCAGGGTGGGTGGCAGCTGGTGGCCACAGAACCTGCCGGGGTTGTGGAGTGAGGGATGGGGTCAGGGTGGGCAGCGGGGCCAACCAGCACCTCCCCAAACTCTGTCCTCCAGTGTCTCCTCACCAGCCTGCCCTGTGCCTCAATTTCCTCAGCTGAGCCACGAGAGCCCAGTGCTGGTGCAGCGGGACTGGAGATATCAGGGGGTGGCTGTACCTGCCCATGAGGCTGGCGACCCCCGTGCCTGCACTGTCGTGCACCTCCACGAAGTCGAAGCTGCAGTCCTCGTGTGTCTCCAGGCTGAAGTTGTGGAACTGCAGGTCGATGACGTGGCCCACGGGCACTGAGATCTGCCAGAGGCACAGCTGCAGGGCAGGGGGCAGCCACCGACACCTGTGAAGCCGGGCAGGGGCACCCCCAGCTCTCCCCGGTGGGAGGGAGGTTGCCTTCCTCCCTGCTCGCCCTCACACCCTCACCCTGCTCCCGCCTCCATCCCGCCAGCATCCCTTCTCTCACCTGCTGGTGTGGGTAGGGCTGGGGATGGCTCGGGGTGGAGAAGTGCCCCTCTAAGGCAGTCAGCGGCCCCCCGCACTCTGGAGGAACACACACATGCAGCTTCGCTCCCCGCCCCTCTCCCCTCACTCCGTCTCCCCTCTCCCCCGCCGCCCTCCATCTCCCACTGCCCGTCACCGTGCCCTCTGGCTGGGTGCCACGGGGGCTGGGGGCTGCAGGTGGGGGCCTGACCCACCTTTGTGTTTCAGGCTGCAGTTGGCCTCGTCGCTCTTGTCCGCGCAGTCGTGGAAGCCATCGCAGACAAAGCCCAGGTGGAGGCAGAGCCCCTGGTCACACACGTGCTCGTCCCAGCCACAGCTCTCTGCAGCGCAGGCAGAGACGGCCGGGCTGGCGGTGGCATCCCACTGGGCACCCTCCCCTGCCCCAGTGTCCCGGGTGTTATGGGAGACCCCCCCGGCACTCCCCGCTGCCTGCCTGCAGCGAGGAGTCCTGGCAGTGCCCGGGGGTGGGAGCACTCACTCTCACTGGGGGCCACGGCACGGTAGTGGGCACTGAAGCCTGGGGCGCCCACGCTGCTGTCGGAGACGAAGGTGACACGCAGGTGGTTGGAGTTGGTGTTGAAGGTCGGGGGGGCCATGTTGCCACAAAACCTGGGGGCACGACAAGGGGCCATGCAGCTCGCCCTGGTGATGCTGCCCCCTCCCCACTGCACTGCCACGCTCCCCGGGTACGAGGGGCCCTACCTGGTGGGGCCCCCCCGAGCCGGGGCAGGATCCATGCCGCTGGGCCCCTGCTCTTCGTAGAGCTCCACGCGGTCGAAGAGGCAGGAGGCAGTGCCCTCCACGCTGAACGTCTCCATCTTCAGCTGGATGGCGAGGCCAGGGCCCACCTCGATGTGCCAGATGCAGAGTGCGTCGGGTGGGTAGGGACCGGGGTAGTTGGGAGAGCTGAAGGAGCCCTCGGGGCCGCGCAGGGTCCCACCACAGGCTGGACGGGGCAACAGCATGGGCATGAGCTGGTGCTGCAGGGCACCGCTGTCCCGGCACACCGCCCTGCACGGGACTTACCCGGTGCTGCCTTGCTGGCTGCGGGCAGCCAGCTCTGGGTTGGGGTGGCAGCTGCTTTGGAGGCCGGGGGGTCCCCTCGGGTGGGTGCTGCAGCGGTGACGGCAGTGCCACGGGCAGGCAGGGCTGTGCCTGGGGTGCCGGGTGGCTGCAGGGACGTCAGCTCTGTGCCCAGGGAAGAGCAGGGACAGCTCAGCCCCAGCAGGGAGAAGTGGCTGCAGTGCAGGTGAGGGGCTTAGGAAGCCCACCCAGCCCCGTGTCCTGTGCTCCCACCCAGCCCCATGGGGGTGCAGGTCCCAGGGGACCCCCACAGCTCTCACAGGGCCCGGTGACCTTGCCACCTCCCAGGAAGATCCCCTTTGCGCTCTCCCCACAGCGGGCAGACCCCGGCAGGTCCTGTGCAGGATGGATGCCCTCTCTGTGCCCCTCTCCCACTCTGAGCCAGATCTGTGTCCCCCACCCCACAACCACAGCCCGTCCCCCAGCCCCCCCCTGCTCTGGCACTCACGATGGATGACGATGCCCATCAGGAGGGCGATGAGGAAGAGGAGGACAGCGCTCATCAGAGCCACGCAGAGCCAGGTGAACTTGCAGTCAGCACGGTACGGCCAGTCTGCCTGGCCCCAGAGCTGCCGGCCTGCGGGAAGTCGAGGAAAGCGGGCAGAGCCGGGGTGCTGCTAGCCATACCCCCACGCTGCCACCTGCCTGCCCCGCCGGCTGAGCCTGGCTGGGCACATCCTGACCTCCTGTCCCCAGGGTGCTCGTGAGGCCCCTAAGCAGTCCCGGAGCAGGGAACTTGCCCCACCACCCTGCTCCCAGACCCACGGCTGTTCCTGGTGGCCCCATGGACAGGGGTGTTGTACAAACCCCCAGGCTGGTACCGAGGCCATCCTGGGGTGATACGGGGCTGGTCCCGTCCTCATCTGATGGGTGCTCGGCGCTTGATGCTGCCCGGGGCTCCTCACCCTCGAAGACAGGGTTGCAGAACTCGGTCTGCAGGAGAGCGAGAGCGCAGGTGGCACCACAGGGAACACGCTGTGGGGACCCGCGGGTGGCTAGGTGGGGACCCTAGGTGGCCCCCACACCCCCAGCCCTACCTTGCTGTGGTCCAGAGCCTCAGGGCAAAGCGTGATTTCGGTGAAGTCTTTCATGGCGACCGGCGATTCCCAGCGCAGCCTGGCTAAAAGCCTCCGCAGCGCGCTCTGCCCCCCAGCACAGCCGCCTGCTCCCCTGCCCGCTCCTCCCCAGCTGCCCCCATTGGCCCTGGAGCAGCGTGGGGACCCCGGCTCCACGCACCGGGACAGAGGCGGTGGCAGTGCCAGCTGTGCCAGCTGCGCCTACATGTGCCACCCCAGCACCAGACCCCCCAGAACCCCGATGGCCATGCCCGCCGCGCTGCAATGCGGGGAGCCCCGGGGAAGCCGGCAGCCCCAGTCCCTTCTGCAGGCCCCTTCCCCCTCGTCCCGTTAATCCAGCTCAGCTGAGGATGCCGAGGTCAGGCTCTGGCACGGAGAACCAGCGTCTTAAAGGGGAAGGTGTGCTCGCACCCACCCCTCTGGGAGTCCGTCCTGCCGGGGACCCTGCCTTTGGGTGCACGGAGGCACCGTTGGGTTTGCCGGCTGCTGCCGTGCTCTGTGCCAGGGCAGAGCCGCACGCAAGGGGCTGTGCTGGGGAGCCCAGGCTCACCGTGTCCCTCCTCCCCTCGTGCCTCCCTGGCACCGGGCGCCTGCGCCCCACCACCTGCATTCCTGCTGCCCCTTAATGCCTCAGGGCCCGTCTCCAACCCTAAGCAGGGGAGAAAGGGGCCATTGTTCAGGGGCTTTGGGGGAAGAGCATGGGCACTGGGGAGCCCCGCAGGGCTGGAGCGGGAGGAAAGGCTCCCTCTGCCTCCGGGCATCGCGGGTGGCTGGAGGAGAGGGACTGCCGCGGGCACCCACGTCTCCCTTGCTCCAGGCAAGCCCCAGGGCACGGGTGCTCCTAGACCTCTGGAGCAGGGCACAGGCAGGGCTGCTCTGGCACTGGTGGCGGTTTCCTTCCTGCTGCTGGAGTCACAGTCCTTCACCTGCCCCCCCGGAGACAAGCACATGTAGGCAGCGCTCTGTTCAAGCTCAAATTTATTCCTGCATGAGTCTCCCTTGTACGAGACGCTTCCCGCCCATCTTGCTTACACAGTAAACAAGCCACCTGCCAAGCAGCAACGCTGCCCCAGTCCGGTACCTGCCGTGGGCAGCCCCTCCATCCTGGCCTGCCCTCCCCAAGCCCTGCTGGGATGCCCCGCGCTGGGCGGGATGCTCACGGCGCGAGAGCGCTCAGGCGGTGCCCGCAGGGCCGGTGAGGGCGAAGCGGGGTGCGCTGCTGGGATGGATGTAGCTGCCTTGCAGGCTGGGGCTGGGATTGTGCTGGGTCAGGCCCATCTCTCCTCCTGCTGCACCTCAGGGAAGGCAGGATGGGGAGGAGAATAAATTAGAGAAAAGGCTAAAAAGGCCACTGGCGTTTGTTTGCTAGCTGGAGGACAGAGCAGCAGGGCGGGTGGGGACGCACATCCCTGGGCACCGAGGGGGGCTCCTGATCGCAGGGAGGAGAAAGCCCCAATTGCAGATGGTCCCGGAAAGCCACTGTCCTCCCCTTCCTCTCCTCCGCAGGATGGACAGTCCTGTGCAACGCCAATGGCCTCCTGCTCCCCTAAATGGTTTAAGGCACCGTTGTATGAGGAGGCAGGTAAAAACCTACCCAAAGCATCCCCCGGCACAAGTCCCTGGAGAGCTAGGAAGCGGCGGGGTGCTCCAGGTTGATTGAAGTCCACTATAAATACATATAAATTCCACAAAATATTTTTCTCCCTCCTGTCCGTGAGGCTGGGCCTGAACTCAGGCTGCTCTGAGGAGTGTGTATAGGGCAGCTGGTGGGGAGACGCTGCCTGAGATGGGACAGAGGCATCCGAAGGGCTGGGGTCCTTTGCGAGGAGGTTCAGAAGTGCCAGGAGGAGGCCGGGAGCAGTTCACGAATCCTCCGGGACGGCCAAGCATAACGGGAGTGCCAAGAGGTCAGGAGGGATGCGGGAGGCTCTCCTGGGTTCCCAGCTCTGGGTGCTCCCCCAGGGGAGCAGAGGTCCTGGCTGAGCCAATGGGGCAGGCAGCCCCATGCCTGCAGAGTCCCTTGCTCAGTATTTTTATTACACACCAGCAAAAAAAAAAAAAAAAAAAAAAAAAAAAAAAAAAAAAAGAGAAATTAAAACGTACCCCAAGGTAAAAACCAAATGCCAGTGACCAGGAGGTGCCTGAGCTGCCTGGGCCCTGCCCTGCTGTGGGCTGTCCTCCTCAGTTCAGAGTTGGGGTGTCTTTGCCCGGGGTCTGCTCCTGGCTGCCCCCAGCCTCCCACTGCAGTCACCTCGAGGTCTCTCCTCTTCACCTCCCTCTTGCACCTGGGGGGCAAATGGCTGAAACCCAGAGGGGCTGGCTCTGAGGGGTGGCACAGGGGGTCCCCGGGGAGGCAGGGCTGGCTACATGCGAGAGGACGGGCTGGCCAGCTCGTAGAAGAGCAGGTAGGCATCACTGCTGCGGACGTGGCTGGATGACATCGGGGTAACACTGCGGAGATGGGGAGACGTGCTGTGAGCAAGAGGAACCGGGATGCCCTGGGCAGGAGGGCCCCCGCTCACCCCGACTCCGCAGCCACCCCTGTCCCACGCGCAGCCTCACCGGGAGTCGTTGAAACTGTGCCACTCGCTGGAGACGGGGCTCTTGCAGTAAGCCGTGTAGTGTCCCCCCATGGTGGTGCCCGAGTGGTTGGAGACGGCGTAGAGGTTGTAAACGGCGTGGTCTGTGGGCAGCAAGGGTGGCGCTTAGCCGCTGCCCCGCTGCCCCCCAGCATGCCAGCACACACCTGGGGCCAGGGGGGGATCTCGGCACCCTGGATGTCTGCAGCTCCCACCCCCCCGTGCCTCTGCCCCCCACCACAGGCTGCAGCACCCTGCGGGACGTGAGGGACTCACTGCAGCTCTGTGAGGCGAACTCCCGGAGGTCCAGGTCCTTCAGCTGAAAGTTGACAAAGGTGGTGAGCTTGCTCGTTCGTATCCTGGCTTCTGAGAAGCGCTTCAGGTCTGGGGGGGTCACGTCAAGGTGCCAAGGGACAAAGAGGAACCTGTGAGGAACTGCCTCCCCCCCTACCACCAGCACGCCCTGTCCCTGTCCCTCCGCCTGAAGGATACGGAGCACCAGAATCTTGGGGAACTTCTGGATGCTAAATTTCTTTGTGCACCTCGTCCTGGCTTTGCAGCGACAACATGTCTGTGGGGGGACAAATAGCACAAGCAGGAGGGTGAGGGCAGAGCCCGGCCCCACCAGGCACTGAGCCCACAGTCCTGGCAACACAGGCATGGAGGGAAAGGGGCCCAGCCTGCCCCCAGGCAAGCCCACCTGCCCCCGTGCCCCATGGCCCGTACCGGTTTCTCATCCCCATCCAGCACGTCCTCTTTGGTGAAGAGCCGTAGGCAGTCCATGAGAGTCACCTCCCCGTAGCCTTTCTGTGGGAGCACAGCGTGCGTCAGGGACAGGGTGTGTGGGGCAGGGGGACAGGGGTGGGCGGGGACCCCTTACCTTGGGGATGGGCAGGGACAGGTCCCAGAAGGGGTCGAAGGCTGTGGAGCAGTAGCCACACTCGCTGCAGGTCAGTGAACTCTTCAGCTGCCCAACAAAGAGGTCTGATGGGGATGGGACAAAGCAGGGTGAGACCCTCAGTTCCCAGCCCCGCTCCCAGCCCAGCCCTGTCCTCCTCTCCCCATGGCTCCGCTCACCGCCGATGCGGCTGTCCTCCCTCTCCTGGTACCTCCTCCACATCTGGCGGCTCTTCTCGTCATCGCTGCAAAAGACGGGGAGGCAGAGAGGCACTAAGCGTGGCCTTGGGGATGTCAGTCCCTGCAACCCCGCCCAGAGGGACCCCCGTGGGCACCGTCCCTGGGCCGAGCCTGCAGGCAGCGAGCTCGTCCACGGGGCTCGTCCGCTGCCTCGGCCCAGGCAGCACTTACGGGAGGTGGTCCAGGGTGTCCGTGCTGGCCCGTGGCCGCACCAGCACACGGTTCACCTCGCTGTGCAGCCCGTCGAGGAGGAACCGCAGGAACTCCTGTGCATCCTGCTGGCTGCAAGACACAGGGCAGGGCCAGTGAGTGGCGTCAGGGGCTCAGCTCCCTCCTGCCATCCCCGCACCAACGCCACTTACTTGTAGCCGACAAAGCGGGGGGCATATCTCTGGATCTGCGTTTTGAACTCGGAGGGGCTCACGCTATCGTTGGGGGATGAGGTCCAGAGGAGCTGGATCAGCTTTGCAAACTCTGTGGGTAGAGGCGGGTCAGCAGCGCAGCCAGCCCTGGCGGCATGGCACCGCAGTGCCCTCCAGGGGACCGCTCAGCACCCTGCTCCGAGATCCCCACGGCCGTCCTCATCCCCTCTGGAGAGGGGACCCGATCCTCCCACTGCCTGGGCGCACACAGCACAGTGCCTGCCCCAGCAAGGCTGAGGGGGAGAAGCACTGCCCTCTGGGCGGGGGTCCCCCAGGACCTGGGTGGCTCAGGGGAGCAAGGACATGCTGCGAGGACACCCCGCAGGGCGTGGAGCCGGCGCTGACAGTTACCTGACATGAGCGCGGTGCGCATGCGGCTGTTGTTGTTGAGGTCCCGCAGGTAGTGGTTCTGCAGGCAGTAATCCCGTAGCTCCTTGGTGTTGCTCAGGCACTGCAGGATGGAGTTCATGAAGCACTGGGGGAGGCAGAAGAGAAAACCATGGCAACGGGAGGCAGAGGGAGGCAGGCGGTGGCAGGGGGACACCCGGGGTGGGTGGGTAGAGGAGAGGGATGAAGCAGTGCAGAGCACAGGAACCTCTTTCTCAGTCAGCACCGTCGGGGAGGGGGTGCAGGGAGCTGCTGGGGTGAGAGCGTGGGTGCTGGAGGCAAGGCAAAGGGACGGGGCTCCTCACTGCCCCAGAGACGTGCCCAAGAGCGCAGCGTGAGCGGGGGCCACCCAGGCAGGTGCCTGGGTAAGCACTCACCGTATTGCCGAGGTTTCGCAGGCCGGTCAACCCCTGCACTGCCTTGGAGCTCTGCAGAGAGAGGGAACAGGGCTGAGACAGTGCCTGCGGGCAGCCCAGTGAGGCCGTGGTGCCATGGGCATCCCCGTGGCGCAGACCCTCAAAGCGCAAGCAGAGGCCCCATCCACCTGCGGGCACCGCGGGCC